TTCTTGTTGCAGTTGTTGATGGTGATAGTGGTGGTGTTGGCCTTGGTTTTGACCTCCTTGTTGTCATCGTCGTTGCTGTCCTTCGGTCTTGTTTTTCTTCGGTTTTGTTGTTGGTGTTCGTTGTTGCTCCAAGCTGAAGCTGCCATGGCTGTTCCAAGCTTACGCTGCACCGATACGCACCAGGTCAGATATAGTAAGCAATCTGCGTTTTTCTTGCAATTTCCCACTATCTGAAAGGCACGCAAGAAGTGCCAGGGGACAGATGTGCACACAAAAGATGCACAAACATCAAGCTACTTTGAACATTGCAATTCATGCGAGAGCATGTCGCTCAAAACCAGTCTGATCGCTTTGGGGTCATGGAAGCGATGCCGATCCAAGCACAAAGGAGGAATCGTAAGGGCACGGCAGCCGCGCTTCGGCCACGCAGTTGCTCCTACCAGTCAGTGTTGTCCAACCAAGGTTATGTATTGATGTACTTCTGTCGCGGCAACCTCCCGTGGCAAGAGAGATACCTAGGAGGGTTGAAGGGCGGCACCAAGGAGGACAAGTACAGGCGAATTCTCGACAAGAAGGAGAGCACTCCGTTGGAGATCCTAGGGAAGACAGCACCGCCTGAGCTGAATGCTTACCTCAGCTACGTGCGGAACCTTTCCTTTGAAGATCGGCCTGACTATGCATGGTGCCGTTGGCAGTTCATCTTGGTAATTATGAGAGAGGCTAGCAATGGCTTTGAGCGCATGGGCGACTGGGATTGGGATCTGCGGTACATCCATGAGAAGGAGGAGAACGCTGCGAGATATGGCGATGCTGCGGTGGATCATGACTTGCCCCTAGCCGACAAACTCCGGCGGGATGGAGATCGAAGTCGGAAGCAAGCTCCTATTTTCCATAAGACGGGTGAGCAGAATGAGGCTGCAAATAAGCAAGGCAATGATGCGCAACCAGCTGCCGATTCACATTCTGCAGCTGCTGCGAGAGTCTCTGAGGCTTCAGGCAATGATGGAGAGCCCACGGCTGCGACAGTTGGCACGCCAGTTTCCAAAGGTCCAAAGTTCTGGGCGGAGGGGAAACTCATGAAAGCAGAGGATGACAAGCCAGAGCTGGTGCAGTTCAACAGTCCGATAGGCACAGCTTTCACGATTGGCCGTGCCGCAACAAATGACCTCTCTCTGCCCGCCGTCCCTGCAGTGAGCGTGTCACATTGCAGTTTGAGGCTGCAAGACGATGGAGACGCAGTCGTGCTGACCGACAGCTCGCTCAACGGTACCTTCATAAATGGAATGCTTGTGGGCAAAGGCAATGAGGCAATAGTTCCCAGCGGCGCAGTCATCACTTTCATTAAGAACAAACCTTACCCGCAGCTCGTCTTGAAGATGAAGGCGTAGCGCAAATGCCTGGACACAGGAAGGCCAGCTTCCTTCCGCTTCTTTGGAAGCAGAGATGGGCACTGGGGATTCAAAAAGCGCTTGACTTTAACGACATTGAGTTTCTAAGTTTCACCGCCTGGCAATTTAACAGGAGCTGGGCTTGCAGTAACAGCATGGCTCTCGTGACATAGGCACAGAGAACGTTCGTATCACTGGTCGCAGCTTAGGACCCTGGAAACAGGCAAACAGCATTGACCACTGCCTGGTGAGCAGGAAAAAGTGCGCAGGGGCGCGTGTACGAGCTTCTTAGTAACTTCCAGCATGGCTTGCAACTCCTGTGTGGTGGATGTGTTGCTCACGCATGACAAGCAGCGCTCAAGCACTGGATTTGCACCTTGCAGCAGGCCAACTGGAAAGGATGCGTATGAAACGGCAAGGCGTACACAAGTCACCCTGTCCAGCATTCGTAGCAAATCCTGGTTGTGAAGTGGATGTGGATGCCTCAAAGGTGGACAGCTGAAAGTAGCGCCTCTAAATCAAATAGCGCCGAATTAGAAGGGACGAGCAGGCCAACGACATGCTGGATGCAAGGCATAAAACTTGGAGGGTTCCACAAGACGAAGAAGCTAAGGTTCTTTCTGGAGTAGCTGGCATTCGACGTTTTGGATTCCGGTATGTTTCACTATAGCCTGCGTGAGAACTGGAATCCTTGCCTCTGGCTTGAACTGCGTAGGAGAAGATGTGCTACCTACTCCACGATCCCTGCCAAGTTGTCCTTGACAATCAGAACCCCTCGACCGAAAATCATCGTGCAGACGAAGGTCGCTGGTTTCCTGAGATGCTTCACGTACCTTCAGCTAAGCCGTTGCGCAGTTGCCACTCGTGTGGCATGTGGCCCTGGCATATGTCCGAGTGCCAGAATGCGATTAACTGCCGGATTGCGAGGCTGATGTTCAACAATCCTCTATCAGGGTCGTAGGCCGGCAGTCTTTCACGCGTGGGGTGAACAGACACCACCAGAAGGTTGTTTTTGGCTCATCCTGCTGTGTTTGGTGTCTGTTATCGTTCTCTTAGTAATGCTCTGCTAGGCAGGGCGGCAGATGGCATGCTTGAGACGCCTGATGAGGCGTTGCAAGCCGCATCGGTTGATCTTGGACCCGCAGATGATCCCAACCCATTCCAGATTGCAGACCGAACGGCTGGACTGCATAACCTGGGCAACACCTGCTTCATGAACAGTGCTTTGCAATGCTTAGCAAACACTCCAGAGATTCGGGCATTTGCCACTGCGTCGGCCCCTGCACGAACTGCAGACCCTGTCATGGTTGAATTTCAACTGTTAATTCGCAATTTGTGGGACCGCGGATCCAGCGTTATCAGGCCTGCAGCCCTGAAGGAGTGCGTTAGCAGTATCACGTCCTCCTTTACAGATTGGGAGCAGCACGATGCCATGGAGTTTTTGGAGTTTTTGCTGAACCACCTTGCTGAGGCATCCGAACTGGGAGCGAAATCAGGGGCACTGACAAAAGAGCAAGGCAGCGCAGAGCAGGGCGGTGAACCTGCAGGGTTCCACAGGCTTCGGTCTTTGTTCACAGGGTTTTTGGAGACAACTATCACATGTCCATTTGACAGCTGTGCTGCTAAGCGCGCAAGAGTCGAACCAGTCACCTCGGTTAAGCTACCAAGTATAGACCCCAAGCTTTGTAATCAGATTGCATTGTTGGTGTTGGTCATGCCAAAGATCACCTCCGAGTTGTCAGTTTCTGAACACCGAGTGTGCGTGGAGCAGGCAGCCGCAGTAAGGACACTGCTGGATGCAGTGGCTGCCAAGGCACAATTGCAACGTAGCTCGTGTCTGTGCGCAAGCCTGGACGATGGTCGCTTGAAGATTTGGTCAGAAACTGATTCTCTGAACCTAACCAGCTCCGGTCAGCTCTTGGTCTACGAGCTGGGAACTGACCACGAAGCTCAGTGCTTCAAAAGTCATCAGTCTGGTCCAAAAGAGATCTCCGACATGGAGAGAAGGGTGTGCCCAGACGATGGCATGACGTACACATTCAGGGAGCTGCAGGCTGCTTTCGCAGCAGAATATTCAGCTGCAGACCTTCAATCCTACTGGCATGATGCAATGGCATTGGCACCTACAGCCATACCTGATGGGACGCAATCTGCTGTAATCGTTCACAGCAGGGTTGACAGCCCAAGGAAGGTGAGCAAAAAGTGCAGTCTTTCATTGCCTTTCCATGTGGCATGTACGCGGGATTTTCCCCCAAGACGCTAGCTTAGCAGAACTGCCCTTCTCTGTTGAGGACTCGCAGCCGCACCCTGGTGGGGATGCCAGTCCTCTTCACAATGGAAGCTCTTCTGCTGATGTGTGTTTTTTTTACTGCGCAATGGTTTTGCAATGTTTTGCGCTTTTTGGAATCGAACCGGCTCAAGCCTAGTTCTGGGGTGGACAGACATTTTAGCGCCTCGCCACGTAAATATTGATTTTGCATCATTGTTGCTCAGGACAGAGTGACACACCAAAGCCAGCTCGTCGATGCAATCAAGGTCCAGCTGATGCTAAGATGGAAGTTGGAGAGTGCTTCAGGCTGGAGTTTGTACCAGACAAGTGCGGCTTGGGATGCTGCCAAAGCAGAGACGCTGCTTGGCTACGAAGCCTCTCCCAGCGTGGGCCAGCTTGCGCTTCGTGAATGTGAGCACCTAGTGGTTCATTGGGAATCTCCTGCCCCTGCAAATCTGCTGGCATTCAACACGCGCAGGGAAGCTGCTGAAGATCCTGAAGAGGTTTACTCAATCGAGACTTGCTTCGATTGGCTGATGGACACGCAGCGACTGTCGAAAGACGATGCTGTGACATGTGATGGTTGTATGCAGAGGGTGGAAGCGCTGAGCAGAATCCAGTTTGCTGGCATGCCACCCGTACTGGTGCTGCACTTGAACCGTTTTCGATACCAGCATGGACAGCGGAGCCGACTCTGCACTCCAATTTGCTTCCCCTTAGATGGACTGAACCTGACGCGATTCCAATCAGATAGGAAGCAAGTGTTGCCTTCCGCGCGCGCGAGTCTTCAAGACAGTCCTCCTGTATATGATCTACTGGCAAGCATCATCCATGCTGGATCTGCCTGCGTGGGCCATTACATGACCTTCGTCCGCTCCCATACCGGCACTTGGTATTTGTACAATGACGAAATAGTCAAGCCAGTATGTGCTGAAGATGTCAACGACACAAAAGGCGCCTACGTGCTCTTTTACCTGCACAGAGACCTGCGTCCTTCTGCCTGGGGAAGCCCCTGATGATTATTCTGAATGCGGAAGCGAGTAGCTGCTTTACCTGGACCTCATCTGCATTTTGAGACGCCGAGCGCATGCAAAGCCCAAACATATCAGCGACGGCATCTACGATCCACTCGAACAAGAGCTCTGCCATTTGCGGAGCCTTAAGGTTGTCGTTGCATCGAGATTGTCTCGTGTGTGCCATCGGGGCTATGCTTCCACAGTGATCCTTCTTGGATAGCCACAACAAGGGCCGCAGCATGCACTGCGCCTGAAAACAGAGAGCTGCACAACGGTTTTCATAGCCCAAACACCGATGTAGGAGCCTCAAGGGTGCGTGTTGCTGAGGACAGTCTCATGGTAGCGTGGTGCCAAGACAAGATGAGAAGCTTTCGCGCATGATCTTTGCTCGCTTTGCTTGCTAAGAGATGCAAGCTGAGGCTTTGCTGGACCTTCGTGTACGCTTGGACTCAGAGGGTGCTGCCCAAGTTGTGTGGTCACTTTGGCGGATGGGTCATTCCCTCAGCAATGCAGCTCGCATAGCATTAGGAAAGTCGATGTACGTTTTTTTTTGGCAGGACGGTTCCACGATGCCTGGATACTTTTTGCAGCCTGGCAGTGCTGTCCGTTCAGAGCGCATTCATGCGATTTGATGGTACATGTTTCCAAGGTCCGCACTCTGAGTGACGGCCGGCATCCTGAACATGGTAAGACAGGCTATACCAAGAAGCACGCTGTGGATGGACGGCAGCTTGTCGCTCAGGGCTTCTGCGTTCATCTACGAACATCAACTGGTCTTTTCTTTCTTTGGCAAGATGAGCAAAAGAGGCGTTATTACCAGACGCTGCTCATGGAGGCTGAGCGACGCGGGGATGTGCAGAAGCAGGCGAAAGGGTTGTATGTCTGTTGCTGCTGCTACGGCTGCCCAATGGCTTTTCTTGCTGAGGTGTTCCTGTGGAAGCAGATGGCAGCGGATTTCTACTCGCGGAATCTCCGCACAGCCTGCCTGAACTGTGCCATGGCAAGCAGGTCCAGCTTATATAGGGCAAGCGTCCGTCTAATCGGGTTGCTTGGGGGCACACGCTGTTAAGGAAGCTTACGTAGCATTTGCGTTTGGAAAGGGTGACCAAATGGAAACACTGCAAACGCACATGCAACAACTGCAGCCATCCTGCCATAAGTCTGAGATGCTTGGTAATGGTGCATTAAATCGTAATGCCAACCAAAAAGCCGGTGACCGCGGCCATTTTCTGTCCTCACCAGCGGGTGGCACCACTCCACTCTCTGTCCGCCTTAGCGCAGCATGGAAAGCATTTGGGGAGCGTGGACAAGCAGCATTTTTGGCCATAACATAACAAGCGCGGCAGAATTCACTAGATCCTTCCGCAGCCAAGGAACGTCTTGCGCTGCGACTCCTTGCAGTACATATCCGACACTGGTGGGGGCATTTTTTTAACTTGCTTTTTTTTGCTACGTACTGGCCAGACGGCAGGACCTGCTTGCCCTGGGCTTTCCTCGTGAGGAGATGAATCCATACCGCAGTGAGCAGCAGCTTGGGTGGGGGTTGAAAATGGAGTGCAGCAAGTGCAGCGCCGCAGCGTCAACAAGCTCAGTTCTGCATGCTGTCCGGTGCTAGCAAAGGCAAACGCTGGCCCCGCAGAGTTCAGGCTTGTTTGGCGGTGCCTTGTCTTTTGCAGAAGCCATTCGGTAAACTGCAGAAATGAGTTGCGCCTTTCCCGCCGTAGCTCAGGCTATGAGGCGATCCAGTCATTCAACAAAGGCATGTGGCTTCCAATGCCGAAGCGAAAAATGAACTTTGTGCCTATGTTGGTGTACGCGCCTTACACCTCTGTGTTGGGAAACGGTACAGCATTTGCCTGGCAATTGGTATTGCTTGCGAGCACAGGTGCTCATTGGTTCCTTGGGCGCTGTTCGTTCTCGTGTACAGCAACTGTGACAGCAAGGTCCAAAAGTTTTTGATCGTTGCAGCTGGAAGTATGCCTAGGTATCATGGCCTTCCAGTTTCACTACAGTCAGCCGACGCTGTGCTACATCGTCGTCTTCGCATTGCTGTTTGTTGTCCTGATAATTGGAATCAAGGCTCAGCGGGTTGCCTTTTGAAAGCTTAGTACGTTGCGTGAGCCATAACAAGTGACCGATTGCGCACGCTGAGCTTCCCTCTGCCGCCTGCATTACGCCCTTGAAGAGCTGTCAATTCTTGCCTTTGAGCTGTGAGGCCTTAACTGGGCGATTCCGCATTTTCAGTGGCGTGCAGTCAGAGCGAGAACCGTGGCTTCCTCAGCAAGCAGAGTAAGCCAATCCCAAAATATGTGTGCTAAGCACCTGCAGATCGACAGAGATGTTTTTCTGGTGTTGAGTATCAGGCCGTCATCTTTGTATTGTGGGTTCAGGTCGTGGATGATTTTCTTTGCCCTCGCCTTGCTCCTTGCGTGGGTTGTTGGTTTCGTGCAGGGCGACCACAACTTCTCTGCGAGTACCGGGCGCCTCGAAAACATGGCAGAATTCACTTGGGAAGCATTTGTAACTCCACGCCACGGCAGTGCTGGGCAACTTGTCTGTGAAGGCGCTATTATGACCTGGGCAACTTGAATAATTACACGCGCCTTGTCATGGAGCATGACTTGGGTCTGATGCTTCAGTTATAAAAACGTGTGGCAGCCAGCCAAGGATGGTCTACCCGAATCGCATGCTTGGGCAGCAGCTGCTTGATGCTGGCATTGTTCAGTTTGCGCCCGGGAGCCAGTTGGACATCAAGAAGTCAATGGGTGCCTAATCTCCATGAAGGTTTTTATGGGGGTCAATGAAGCCGCGAGCTAGGCAGATCTTGTCTTGTGTGAGGCTTCAAAAATGGACAAGTGTATTGTGTCGCCAGACTCTGAGAGCTGCAGTGAGGGCATGATGGCACAAGCTGTCCACAGCAATCACCACATTGCAGGCACCAATCGTCTTTGGCACCACTACACCGTTGTCCTATGACTTCTGGGCAGTAGGCCGGGTGTGAAACTTGGAAAGGGCCAGGCGGACAGATGGAAGAAGTTTGGCATATTGAAAGGGAATGAAATGAACATGGCGCCGCTTGCTTGGCCCTGCACAACACATGCATTTGAGGCTAAGGCCTCAGGAGTCGCCATGCTAAGAACTAGGAGACCCTTGTTTTTGGATACGCAGCCTGACAGCAGTGGAGCGTGCGTGCACTTCAAATGCAATCTTTTTCGTCCTCTACCTATGAATGCGTTCGACATACTTTTCCATGACATGTAGAATCAAATTTGTCTTTCTGCGGCCGCGGCAGCGTGAATCTGGGCATCCCTGATGTAAGCTCCATCAGCGGCCCACCCCTCAGGGGTGCGTCTTTTTTGGGGTGGGATTTCGTATATGTGAACAGAATGCCTGGTCCTGCTGCAGATTTCCTCGACAAATCGAATACTGTTGTGTCCTTGGGGTTGCTGGACGTGGAAAGCTCATAAGGTGTTTTTCCACCAAAAAACAAGCTGCACATCCAGACAGGCTCTGGGTAGGGTGGGAGATGTGGGAGGCTTGGGGGTTTCTTCAAGGCGAAGGAAAGTAGTTGTTAAAATGAACCTCAACAAGAGGACATGGCGTCCGCTGATCAAGGAATTATCCAAACTGCGGTTCCAGGACTAAGCTTTTCATTGCTGGGGTTAACAACTGCGCATTACGTAAGTGGCAGTGCAATCATCATGATGTTTTTGGCAGCCAGCAACTAGCAACTAGAAACTGCTGTTCGGCGTATAATGACGACAGTAGAAGCAGCTAGAAATGAAAGCTCAGCTAAGCTTCAAAAAGAAAACAAAGGCAGCCACTGCTCTGGACGAGATCTGGGCTTGTTCCACTGTGCCCGGGTTTTGAAAGAGGACTACAGAAGTTCCCGTTATCGAAAACCTTACATTCGCGAATTACTCTAAATTGTGCAAAGTCTCAGGGTGGCTGTTAGTTGAAGAGGAAGAGGCGAGGCAGCGGGGCTGCAAGCTTTGAAGGGGCAGGGAAGGGGAAGCGATGGGAACCCGTGTCTTTTTTGTTGTTGGGCCCCTTAAAGACGAACCAGGCAGACCGGTTAGTGAGTGAACTCCCGTCGCCCGCCCAATCAGCAAGAAATGAAACACGCCCCCGCCCAAGCAGCAAAAAATAAAGACGCCCGCCGCCCAAACAGCAAAAAAAACAGACGCCCCCCGCCCAAACAGCAAAAACATAAAGACGACCACCCGCCTAAACAGCAAAAAAACAAACACGACCACCCGCCTAAACAGCAAAAACACAAACAGGCCCGCCCGCCCAAACAGCAAAAAAGAACGCGCCTCAAGCCCAAACAACGCTGTTTGAACGGGAGGCTTTTTGCTGAAAATCAAATTCTGCTGCGGAGTGATGGGGGAAAGGGCGGGTGCGTGTTTGTTTTTTGCTGTTTGGGCGGGGCGCCCAAACAGCAAAAAACAAAACATCCGAAAAGCCAAAAAAAGACAACAAAACAAACAAACACTCTTACTAAAGCGATGGACATGCAGGGTTGAAGAAGTTCCTAGCATGTAGTCCTTCATGTCTGGTTCTCACAGCTTTCAGCATGTCGGGCAGCCCAAAGACTTCTTCAACTGCCACTTCAAGAGCTATCCGAGAAAACTGCATGACGAAGAGAACAGAATTTATGGGAAATCCTCTGCAACCCCGTCTCATCAGGCCCCAGTCAGTGCAGCCCGCGTCTTCTTACAGGAGCCAAAAAGCTGTTATTTTCTGGTTGTGGCCCTTGTGGCGGATAGCACAGATAGCAAAGATCTGAAGGCCGCTGGCCTCTGCGTTTGAGGTCGCGCATTTTCTTTGAAGCTGCTACGCAGATGCCATTCCCCATGCCGCTGGTGTCATTTCCGCTTGTCTCTCCTCGGGAGTCTTGTGCAAATTGCCGACAAACGCGCAGGAATTCTCGCAGAGTGGGAGATAGCCTGCCACTGTTGCTGACAATTGCTCGCAGAACCAGCCCAAGCGCTAAACGGTTTGCTGAAGAGTACATCCTGCCTCCCCTTCTCTACTGTAGCACAGGCCCGCTACCTTACTCGTACAACTGTTTTCGCGCAAGCTTCATGCTGGTTGTGCTTTGCATGCAGCGACGCGCTTGCAGCGACAGAGCTTCTTCCAGAGACACAAAGAACAGCCAGCTGGCCGCCTTCTAGACACAGACCCTGAACCCCTCAGCATTGTATCAGCCACCCGTCGAGGGCCTCGCATCCAGCTTAGAAAGCAGGTTTCAGTTAATGCTAGGCATTAATCTGCGAGATGCTAGTTTCCTACCGCCTGTGCCGTAAGATGATGGTGCGGCAAAGTAGACAGGTATTTCAGACCAAGCTAAACTAAAGCACACTGACCCTGCCCTACAGCACACTCGGCGGGTTGCATGTCCAAAAGATGGCAAGTGCAGGCACGGACTGCTGCAGCGGGAATCAGCCAGACTTCTCCTGCCGCAGCTTGGAATGATTTTTTTTTGCAGAGTTCAACCCCAGCCTGCAAATGAAGTGTCACATTACATGCTGAAAGGCAATTACAACAATCCGCAAGCCAGTGGTGGCATCAGGCACCATTAGAATGAGTATGACATGTTTGACTGCCTATGCATGGTTACCTCTTGTTCCTTCAGGTTGATGAACAGCAACGACCGCGCCTACTACAGGTAGGAGCCTGTCAAGCTGCAGTTTGACATTGTGTAGTAGGAAACATAGCACTAAACCAGAGGAAATGCTGCAATCAAGGATTGAGCTGTGTTTGTCATGCAGAGCATGTTACAACCAACAGCTCCAGCGTGCAACGAAGTCATGCGTCGAATGTGATGGAGCAACAAAAGTACGGCTTGTGGGATAGCTCACCCATTGTGGGCAGGTCTCAATGTCCTTTTGACTTCGCTTGCAGTTGATAAGGTTGGCAGTGCAGCAAGCGGAGGCGACCTACAACATCAAGGTACAATTGATCTTTTTCCGGCTTGCTGTCAACATAGGGTATGAGTTTTTTTAAGATTCTCTTGTCACATCTCCGTCGCTGTTACATACTGTCGCATCCGACGTTGCCTTCGCATTATTAATCGTGCTTTTCATGTTTTCTCTTCTCCACACTCAAGACCGTCCTCATTGCCATTATTGACCTCATTGTAGTCCTTCTAGCTCATTATCATGAGCATTGCTCCCGCCAGAGCCACAACGACATCGTCGTCAGCCTGATCATGATGGTTGTCATGTGGCTATCGTCGTCAATCTTTGTTTTACGACACCTCATCTTCATCCCTGGCCGCGAGAGCATCTTCATTTCATTGGCGTCGTCGCACTTGCGAACGTAGTACACGGGGTCGGGTTATTTCACATCGACTGGGTTTCTACACGTCGAGCAGCGTCCACACTGGGGGACCCAGTTCAAAAGCACTTGCTAGAATAGATGTCATGCAAAAGCAATTCTTGCAATTGTGCTGTTTCTACAGCGTCCACAGGGTTTCAGCTCATGATGCCGCATTTTTGTATGACATTGCTGTATGCTGCATGCTGTGTCTCACTCCTGGAAATACTAGATATGGCGCATTGCCACGTCCATGCAGTTGTTTGCAATTCACGGAAGGCCACCTTTTCTTACGTTGATTGTTTACATGCCATGGCTCAATCGTTTAGCACGAAAACCGTCTGGGACGGCCTATTTGGTCCACAACGCATTACTCGGGAAATAGGGAGAAGATATGACTCATCTCGGAAATCACGTATAAAATGCTCGGATGTAATTAAAGGGGGCCTCCATGTGAACTGATGGCATTAATCGGGGAGTGATAGTATCTCATGCGTTTCAGCGGTTTAAGCTCTCAAGTGGGGGCTTCTGAGCCCCTCCTAGAATGGGAGGGAGAAGAACTATGCTCCAGGCATCGCATCCTTTGTTCTTCTACTGGGAGGTCGAGCCTTCCAAGAAGGCAACCAAGCTTCACAAAGTTTTCTTTCGTTTGGAAAAGACGTATGTGTGAGTGACCGCGGCAGGTCCAACAATGGCTCGTTGATGGCCATTCGGATCTTGCTGCGTGGATCGTGTCCTACCTCATCTTTCAGCAACTTGCATGGCATTGACAAGAAGGTCATTTCGATGTGACGCATACCTGCTTATGGTGAAAACCGCGCACCACATAATGTTGTGTTTGCGGACAAGGATCTTCATCGTGGCGATTGCTGCTGTTGTCTTCTCCAAAATTGGTCACCAATGAGTTGAGCGACTGCCAGAGACAGACCATCAACAAGTCTAGGAAAAAATGACAGTTGCGCCCTGCATTCAGCCCGACTGCAGGTGTGCTTCTTCGGAGATGTCCGAAGTGTTAAATGTCATGCTAAGGTGCTTTGATGGCTCACATCAAAGCTGCAGATGCAGACGGGGCCCGCGAGATGCTGCGACAAATGGTGCCTTTTCCGGGATCGTTTTGCCTGTCTGCAGCCACATGCCGTCCTTTGTGGCTCATGCATAGGTGCGGACGAAGCTCTTCAATCAAGTCACGGTGCCCCATCGGCCTAGATGTTGAATGTCTTGCAACTGAACTGCCATGCTTGCACAGGCATCGCTTGCAGCTCGTTTAGGACATCCGGACCTGGAGGCACCTTTGGAACGCAGTGAGCACTTTATTTTCACAAGAGGGTCTAATCACGCCAAAACTGTGCACTGCAGCGTGGTGGCCCAGAACAGTCATGAGGAGCCTGCAGGCATACGTAGGCAAGCTCTTATGACAGCTGGGCACAGCGGAAGCCAAGTTTGACACAGTTTCAGTAACGCATTGACCTTATCACAGCAGATTGAGACAGCCTAGTGGCGCACATGGACCCGGAGGGCATCATCATCGCCGAAGCTCCTGGGCTCGAGGACTTCGCCGTTCGTGCTCATCCCGAAGATGCCCTGAAGTGGACCTTGTATTCTGGGGATTACGTGCGCTTGCAATGCTTGGGGCTCACATTCTGGGCAAGCTGATGAACCTGGAATGCCGTCACTGTAGGGTTGTGCTGTGTGATGCTGTGTGTGTGTGTGTGACCGAGGCGTAGAGACAAAAGCAGAGGCTTTCGTCCTACTGAACCCACCAGCTGTGGAAGATCATGCCCAGGATGCTCATTGTCACTTGCTTGTAGCAGTGAGGCAGTTTTTGGAAGCGCAGCAGCAATGAAGCCCCGCGACATCAATATACTTCTGTAAAGTTCAGGCCCAAGCCAGGGCGAACTTTGGGTGGCGCCGCGTTTGCGGCACTTGCTTGGAGGCTTTAGCTTATGCAGTTCAACTGCCAGAATTACCCCAGCCATCCCCAGCCAGCCTGAACCTCTCCACGTGAGAGCCGCTCCTTGGTTGACAGGCCAGAAGGTGCACCTGGAGCTTGCTGAAATGGAGGAAGCGCTTGTTGTGAAGCTCAGTGCCTCTGCTTGAGAATGGCCTGCTGGATGACCTGGTACAAGGCTTGGATCCGAGCCGAACAGCTCAGGTGGACTGCCTGAAGAAGCACAGCATTGATTACGTGCTGACTTTCTGACGTTGGATTTATTGCAATTTCGTATCGCAGTTGACAGTTTTCCGCAGTTGATAGTTTGGATTCCATGGGTTCCATGAGGCTGAATGTGCCCACAGCCAGTGCTGAGGCCATGCAAGACATGCACTGCTTCTTTGGCACCGCCAACGGTCAGAGCCAGCTCACCTTGCAGGGATTAGCTGAGGAGGAAGATTTGGAATTTGATGAGGATGTCCTTGAGTTCTGGCAGGCTTATGTTGAGAAGGGTCGCTGCGCAATGCGGCCTGTTTGGCGAGGCCTGACCTTCAGGGTTCCAATGCCAGGCCTGATGACAGATGGCAATGGCGAGGGGATCACAACAGCATCGTTGGGACGTGGGCCCTTGGATGATGGAAACACCTCGGATTCCTCTATCTGGGTGGAAGCCATCTTTGGGCAAGGTGGCAAGCCATTGAACGCAGCAATCGTCGGGCCAGCAACCCGCCTAGAGGGGGAGTCCTCTCGAACAGCAGCTCCGGCTGCCTGAAGAACGTTTGACATGAAAAGGTGAAGATGTACAGAGTCGTCGGAGACTTGATCCCCAGGCGCTTGAGCCGGTTCGTGCTGCATGGGGCCAAGAAGGCACCATTTCTGTGATTTCTGTGTGTAATGGTGTTTCCGGCGGCAGCAGTCGATCCAGGTTGCTGCAATCAGGCTGGATGCAAAAAGAGGTTGCTGCCAATAAATCACACGCCTGTACCCGCACTGTGAATGTATTGAAAGGCCGAGCAGGTCTGTCTCCATTCTATTGCTTGGTGCGAGCCTTTTTTTGCGTTCCATTGCTTGTACCACTTTGGCAGGACTTGATTGATCGCTTGGTCTGGTGCTCTTTCTTGTGCAAGTTATTTGCCATCGCGTGCTATTGGTGGTGTGTCCCCGACATGGCCTCCATTTTGGCGACTACTAGAAAACTAAATTCCAAGTCCGTAGGTCTCAAGTGGTAATGGACCCCGAGAATGTTGTACAGGCATCTTTATTCGTGCCTTTCAGAGCAAGCCACTGGAGTCACTGGAGTCATGGGATATCGGCTCTGATCAATCTGGCATATTGTACCCGCAGAGAGGGTCGTGAAATTTGTGACATCCACCTGAGGACGCTGGGTAGGTTTGATCTTGGTTGTTGTACAACCTTGAAGCTACCAAAGTGTGCGGATATGATGCTTTCCACGTCAACCTCCTTCCGGATTTAAATCTTACCAAAGCTACCATAGCTCTTCTTCCTTCTTTCGCAGGCTGAGATTGAGCCTGCGGAAATCATTGACATCACGTTGCGGCGTCGCCCTACATGTCAGTCACGATACGAAGACTTTCACTACAAGGCAAGGAATTTGACATGGCCAAGTTATGACCAGCGACTGTTTCAAAACAAGGCTTGGCTTTGTAGCAGCACAGGAGGCCAGCGTGTTGGAGACCGTCGTCCGAGAAGCGACTGCGCGAGATGTCAAAAGTGCCGCGCGCCCAGGGCTTGAGCTTGACAGGCAGGGACGATCAGGGACGCCCCGGGAACGCCTGTGGCAGAAAAGCGGGCCTCTTCTAAGCCCTTGGCGATCGGGAGAGCAAATGGATTGTCAAATTGCAGTAGCCATGCCGTCTTGTTTCATCTGCCAAGGTGCACGCCTCTATTGAGAACGTCGGTCTGAAAGAGGTTTGGCTGAAGATAGCTGGTGGCGAAAAGGTGCCTGCAGTTCGCGTTCCATTTCGGGAAGGCCATTCAGTGTGGCACAGAAGACTGTTCTCTTGACCCGGAGGCCTGCGTGATTGATAACGTTATTGCCAAGCAGAGGCCGAAACTGACTCTGGGCACTCATTGCGTCTCTGGGCGCATCCATGCAGCTACGTTCATGTCAAGCTGAGGATATTAGAGTTCGGGACCTATGTAGGCTATACGATGCCTGGCTCAGAATAATGCATGCTACAGGGGCCGGAGAACGTACTAAGTTGGCATGTCACAATGTCCAAGTTCACGCTGTCCAAGGTCCACGCGGATGGCGCTGCAAGTTGATGCATGGAAGGGCCAAGTCGTGACCATGGAGATGGATCCCGTCAATGCTATGTGGCTGCAGGACACTGCAGGAGCAGATTGTTGGTGAACAAGCTAGGTGGCACCTGAACAAGGGAGATGACAAGGTGAGTTCTCCTGGGTGTCTTGAAAGTGCGGCGTGTTGGAAACATACTATCAAGAGAACATTCCAGACGAGGCTCAGCACTTGAGGGTGCCCAAAGCCTCTCTGCGGTCGTTGTAGGCAAAGTGCCCAGCGCGCGGATGATTCAAGAGCTCACAGCAAGAGCAGCAACGGCGGTGACGGCAGAACCATACCTCCCTCATTAGTTTCGGATAACTTGGAAAAAGTTCTGCCAGCGACGCGATGGTTCATGGGATGCGCTTCTAAGGTGTCGGTTCAATGGCACCCCGTAGGTCGTGCCTTGCATGTCTAGAAATTGGTACTTGTTGCAGCTGGTCAGCACTGATATCTAGTTAAGTGAGCAGCGACCGCCACCTATCTGCGCCTGAAAAACCCAATCCCAAGCCCGGAGGGTTAGACCCATTTGGGTAGACGAGACGCCTTAACATTTGTTCTGTGGAATCGAGCCTTTGGCTTCAACCCTGGAACTCACGTCACCTGAAGTATCTCTGCCTTTTTTTCGACGATGATAACCTTGGCTGGTGTAGTAATTTCACACACTGGCGGCACCGCGCTCAGGAAAACAGCAATCAGGGAAAATGGATGAACATGGATTCCGTATTGCGCAAAGGGCTATCCTCCTCAAGAGAGTGCAAGGTATGCGATCGCTCATGGAATGGCAACAACAGCATCCAAGCGCTACCGGATGAAACATTTCCTGCCCAAATGAAGCGAATGTGTGCCAGAATGCTTCGACAAACATCACTCTGCTGGCATGATCAGCTAGATCTAGTGGCTGAGACTGCATGAAGTGGAAAGAAAAAGCCAACTGGGGGTCGTTCACTTATCTTCCTGGAAGGGATGCCCAGAATCATTGTCTAATACACTCAGCTCTCTATGTCATACGCGGCAGTCCCATTGCGGGCCTCCGAGCCTGTGCTTCAAAACCTCTCCGGACAGCTTGTGTGCGCGTTGCGCTTGGGTTCTCTAGTAGGCGGTTTTGGCATGCGGGTGAATAAACGATTTGTTTTCTATTTTGAGTTCCTTATTAAGTTTCCCGAGCTGGATGAGAACCAGATAGACTGGCCACGGGCGACTGTGCTCCACAAGTTGCTCTTGTTCCTGGTCCCACGCAGTGCATCCTGTCCATGCCAAAGCATGTCCGGCTACGTTGTACTTCCCCGTTTTCAAATGCCGCCCCCACTTCAGCTCGCTTTCATCCAATTTTATCATCTGGATTTTACCATGTCCCTATCCTGAGGCTACCATTGCTCCATGGATGCATTAGAAGCTTCATAGGCGTGTGTAGATATGTCCAGCACAACCCTGCAAGAACATTACTGTAAGTTCCACAGCAGATTCTCGGTAAGGCGCGCAACCACATCGAGATGGCTGGCCTATCGCATGTTGTGACTGTGCAGCTGGGCCATTCGGATGACGCCGTGCAGTTGGTGCTTGAGAAATATGGCGAGGGTAGCGTCGACATGGCGTCTCAGTCAATACGTGGAGTGGCGGTGCATGAGTCTCCCATTGGCGTTCGTGCTTACAGATTCAGGTGTTCATGGATCAGCGTGGGACGGCTCCAAGACTGAATTGGATCCGTCAGTCAAAGTCTTCAAGTCAAGCTGCCCAGAGTTACCAGTGGTTGCAGCCTGTGTCGTATCTGCAACACATAGTGGTGAGCTGCGCGCTCACAAGCCATCTTCCGTCATAGGTAACAGGGGCTGGATGCTGCCCTATGCGGCCCTGGCTGAAAGTTGAACAGAGGCTTTCCATGACGACCTGTTGACTCTGGATGCTCGAGCCGGGATCAAATGTTGCACAGACAATCACGACGCTGCAGTCTCGGGCAGCTCGCTTTTTGCTGTTGAGTTGGGTGCTTGCACGAGGAAAGAACCAACATCCTCGCAGACAATGCAGTCGTTGTCGCAGTTGCTTGCATGAATCAATGAAAGAAACTGGCCCTTCTCTCTTGTGGCGTCTGAGCATTGCCTGAGTTTAACTTTAGGACAATGTGTTGAAGCCCGGTGCTCCATATCACGTGGCAGTTCTGCACTTCAGATAACCCCTGCCTATAACGGACAAGTTGCTTTGGCTGTTGACTTCAAGCCGCGCATTCCCGATTCAACATGAGGTGTGGAGAATATCCACGCTACCACATTATGCCACTGCTTCTTGGAAGCCTACAGCCCTGCACCTCTGTTGATGCTGACTGCGATTCAGAGGATATTGTCGATCTGCGGGAGTTCGGCTCTGCCCCTGTGGAGGACGCTGGTTACCTTAAACGGATGATGTGCAGGGCTGCTGCAGTCACAGGACTGGATGACTGTCTCATGGGTCAGCCGTGGGAATGGCTATGGACAATTGCCAGTTGAAGTGCGTGAGCTTAACGAGCTGGCGCGGGAATCAGACCGATTCAGGTGCGTGAGATGTTGCAGGGCATTAAGATCCGCAGCAGCTCGCAAGCACAGATGCCAGGTTGAAAGCGATGGCAACCTCAATGAAAGACTTGGTCGGGGATCCACTAGATGAGTTTGCCAAACGATTTACGCACGAGTTCGTCAAGCTGGGCATCAGGCGTACTCTGCATCTTGAGGGTTATTTGTCATGCTGCCTTGTTCCTTCCCTTGATGAGGACCAGCATGTATGTGCGCACCGACATTGTTGATGGATGCGCTGTGTCGAAGCTGGTGCAGCTGGGGGCTGGTGAAGCTCCTCCATCATGGGACGGTGAGGAGCGTGAGGGGTAAAGGGGAGCAACGGCTTTGCACGACACGAGAGATTGATGCGTGTGAAGCACAATGTCCTCATGTGGCATAGACAGGTAAGAAGGTGTTTTCTCAGCAGCCCCAATCGCATCAGTATCCGGTGCGTTATGTCGCCCTTCCTCAGAAGGTGGCGCTACTCCAGTGCTATGGCGGAGTACATGCTGTGGCTGCTGCTACTGCTACACTAACACGGCGCCCATAACGCATCCGATGCAATCCCATAGAGCCACTCTTTTAGAAGTTAACGCTAAACTGGGCACGCTGGATTCTTTGTTCGCCATTTCTTTGACATGGTCTTCTTGCTCTTGTTTCCATCCACTGCTCCTCCGCACCCTTATCACTCAGGTTGACCAGTGTGCGCAGAGGCCCCTGGCCTGTAAGACTCCTCTCCCAATATACCCTGCACAGTAGTGCGCAGTGCGCGCTGGTCCGGTATGGGTATGGGTGGGCCCGGGGTAGGGCCTCCCGGCTCATCTCGGCCATTCTGGGATGTTTTCGGAGGCTCACACCTAAACATGTCGATCCCCATGAATCACGACCTCGATTTCATGTTCAACGATTTTTGCTTGCGCATGCTCCGATCGCACACGTCTCAAACCGGACCTTAAATCCTGACACACAAAGTTTTCATGATAGCCTCGTTTGTTTTTTACACGTTCCCTTCGTTGAGCAGCAGGTATGACAGGCATGATCAGGCATCTTTGGTCGTGTGAAAAACAGTGTTATCAAGTGCTCTTAGGTGTGGGAATGAGGGAAGGCTATCGTGGAGAGGTCCCTGCCCCAGCCTTGCGAAACACGGATGCTTCAAGAAGTGAACATGGCTTGGTCAGGCAGCTGTTTACATCAGACCACCCGCACACATGATATTGCATAGTTCGCGGGAGAAGCTATGAGGGTGTGCGAACGGCTCGACTTCCGCATGCGTGCAAGCAGCAGGCATTTCCTAAGCCTCGTATCTTCGTCCAGTCAGGTGAAGCATCCAAGCAGTTGTCTTGTTTTTCTGAGGACTTGGGATTTCTGCAGGGTTGGAATGAGGATGATGCAGTATTTAGGTTTAAAAACACCCTTTGCTCCCGAAAGTGTAGCTGCCGAATGCTTTCAGGGAAACTTGCTCCGCACCATGCATCATTTTCAGCTCACCACTGCATGCAGGATCCACGCGATGCGATTCAAGGTGGGCAATGGAAATGCGTTGTGGGTGGTGTTCGCTTCCGCGGCGAGCAGCTGTTGCAATTTGGCCGATCTGGCTATGACGGGGCAGCCACGGACATCTATGGATGCTCGCCCTTCTTTCAATGAGTAATTTGTTTTTCTCGTGGTGCTTCAAGCTCGTAGGACTGCATCAGGTGGCAAGCTGGGCGGCTCACACAATGATCAGGTTTTAAACGCTGTCATGCTGGGCTTGGGAGGGTTAGGACCTTCGAGTTCCATTAATCCAGGTGGCAAAGCTGATTGGCCCCGCATACCACCTGGAGGCTGAGCAGGCACTCGTCACCGCATTTCAGCGCGTTTCACCGCTTTGGGCCAGCCAGCATCGCGGAACTCCGTTGATCTTGCAGCTTGGAATCCGCCATGCCTAGCTAGGCCGGAAAATCTACGCATGCTGGGATTGCAGGGTACAGGCAACTAATGAACTAGTGCAGATGCCCGAAGGCTAACGTGCAGCATTTGGACTACAAACGCCTGCCAAGCTGTGCCTGGACAAGCCTGTGGACAATCATCCAAAGACACCCTTCACAATCTAGAAGCAATCAACTCATGAGAATCTTGAGAACCTCCTGGCTTGCGCGGGCTCAAGACATCGTGACGACCAAATCCACCAAGCCCGCGCCAGGAACAAGGCCACCACCCACCACTCATCCGTGCTTTACATCTCTAGGTTTCTGCAGAGGCACTATGGCTGGAATGGCTAGTTTGGCGGCACGATCGCTGCTGCAGGCCTGAGATGCCGAATGCTTCCGCCGGGTCATTCAAGTCCCTGTGCAGTCCCTGCATTGTAAGGCAGGCATTCGGCGTGCGCCTCATGCCCACCGGCTTGCCCATTCCCCAGCTTTGCATAGCTTCGCCCGCGGCTTACCAGACACAGTCTACATGATGTCTACATGAAATTCGGCGAGGCTTCTTCCCTGCGTCTTCCAGAGGCTGCAGTAGGAAGGGGGAAGGAGGGAGTGTTTCTGCAGCAAAACACGCCAGGCGGCCTTTTGCGCACACGCTAGAGGTCTCCAGACACGACATCTAAGGAGCACGGAACGAGGCATTCCTCTCGCCCCCAGAACCTCATCGCTTGTCCTGGCCAGGACGTCCTTCCCCTCTTTGGCAGTGCAGCAGTTCAAGCTGGCTGGGAATAAGGGTTGGAAGCAGATGACTAAGAGTAGGCTGTAGGCTCACTTTTCCGTGACTGCAAACGTGTTGTTTGTGCAGATGGGCAGGCGGACATCGGCGAGGGCATCGCCGAGGTTCAGCTCACGGAGTGGTTTGTCAAGGAGGGCGATCAGGCCCAGATGTCAATGAACTGTGAGGGGCAGGGTGTCCAGCAGAGGGGCCACGGGAAGGGAGTTCAGCCTTCGTGAGGTCAAAGAAATGGACAATGTCTGCAGCGTTGAGAGCGACAAGGCCCTCCCTACAGTTTTGGCCAGAATTGCCACAGTGCCAGCAGGGTGTTCCGTTTCCACGCCTTGTCGTGCTCAGTGGCAAGGCATCCGTTGAGCTCACAAGCCCCTTCACCGGCACGGTTGTGAAGCTCCACCACAAGGCAGGCAGGCAGGCTTTCAAGTAAGCCTAAACCGATGCAGTACAGGGCTCAGCAAGTTTGTCAAGGACTGGGGAGGTCTTAAAGACTTGGTCTGCTCATCTGTGAACAAGGAATCTGTCAAGCTAGGAATGGGGTAGGACTTCTTGCCGTTCTAGTCCAAGGGTTGCCTGGACTGCAGGTGCAAGACACCGTCAAAGTGGGTTCAGTCCTCATTGACGTGGACACTGGCAGTGCGGGCGGCGCACCTGCAGCCTCCCCAGCAGCAACTCCTCCCCCAGCAGCCACGCCGGCAGCCACCCCGGCAGCTGCGCCAGCGAGCACAGCCTCAGCGGCAGTCGCGAGCCCGGAAGCTGCACCACGGGATACAGTGCTGCAGTGCTTGCAGAGGTGCAGCCGTTCAAGCTGGCAGACATTGGTGAGGGGATTGCGGAGGTCCAGCTCACCGAGTGGTTTGTGAAGGAAGGCTCCAATCTTGCAGATTTCTTGTATGGTCTCTTGCACCCCAAAGACGGGCAGAGTTTGGCGATGCTTGGGAGACAGCATGCGAGGTGACATCGTCAAGGACGCGATTCTCACATTCCTGTGTGGAACATAAACCGCAACTTGTAAGGTTTTACATGAACCCTCAGGCTGCATGGAACACCTCTTGAGAACTGTGAGCATCGTCCTAGCACATGGGGAAGCCATCACGGCAGGAGATGGACAACTTGTGCTCTGTGGAGAGCGACAAGGCCAACCTGTGAGTCTTTTTGTATCTTTTTGTTCTTTGGTCCTACTTGTTCCTGCTTGACAAGAGAGCTTGATATTTGCGAGGCTTCGGTGGAGCTCTCGAGCCCGTTCAGCGGCAAGATCGTGAAAATCCACTACAAGGCAAGACAGCGGATTGAGCCACCAAGGTAGGACGGCTTCGAGGAAAAAATGAGAGCCGTGGAAGGAATGTAGTATGGCGGGGATGGAGAGTCAGAGGCTGACCTGTAATTGCTGACAGTAGAAGCGGGGGATCTCCCGCATGTTTCGATTTCGCCAGCTCAACTCAGCCATCCAGAGAGCCATGTGGCAACATCTCTCGGCACACTCCCTTGCAGGGCTCTGGGTGTTTGGCCACGTCACTTGTTCGACGTGACAAGCTTTGCAGACGTTGCAGGAGCATTGTAAGATACTGTACTCTTTTTCCCGAAAGCATGTCGAAACGTTTTTCTGTGGAGGCGATTGTATTATAGGATAGGATGGAGGTTGCTCTATGGCTGTCTGGCGCCTACTAAATTTGATGGGGCACGGCTGGCGAGAGCCGCCGCACCTCTCCAAAATTGCGCTGATGCGCGGAGCGTCTTCGCAATTCTGCTCGCAAATGTAGAACTGTCGGTGATTGGGGGGGTGTTGAATCGCTGGCAAGTAGAGAGGCGCGCTGGCGCGTGGAGCGTCCGCGGAATTTGGCGTGCAAGAGCCGCAAGTGACTACCTTCTCAGTGGTTCCGGCCTGTCGGAGTGCTGGATGCGTCCTCGGGCGTGCAAGTGACGACCTTCTTGGTTGGGAGCTGTGTTTGGAGTGGTACTACGAAACGGCATCTTGTAGCGGAAGGTCCATGGGCGCCGTGTTTGGGAGGGGCATCTTTTTTGAGGTCCGCAGGAGCTGTGTTTGGACTGTTATTGCGGAAGGCCTTCGTGACAACCGTTCTCTCTTTGTTCACGAAACAGTGCAAACGGTTGTTCCGTGGAGGTGGTTGTTTTATAGGACGGATGGCGTGATGTTTGATAGGATGGCGTCAGGTTTGATTGATGGGATGATGTGAATGGGGTGATGTCATAACGCTGTTGTACGTTTCTCATGAGGTATCGCGTATACAGTTGATGGCGTGATGCGAGGGTGTCGTGAGGTTAGCCCCCGTGTGAGGTTGTGCATGGTTTCCCTGAGCCGTGAGGCTGTGGCTGGCTGTTTCAAGCATGCTTCAAAGCACGGGCAGGGCTCAGTGTTCGCGGCTTGTCCAGACGCTCCCGCGTAGAGTGTCCTCAGAATCTTGCTTGGAGACGGTTTTTTCTGTGGAGGAGGTTGACTATGGGATGGCTTGATGTCTGATCGATGGGATGATATGGATGATGTGATAAGGTTCCTGTACAGTTGTCGTGAAGTATTGGCATGGTGCTTTTTTTTTTTTCTCGTGAGGTTTTCCTGAGTTCCTGAAGGCGTTGCAAAAGGTTATCCGTGGAGGTGGTTGTCTATAGGATGGCTTGATGTTTGCTTGACGGGATGATGTTTTTGTAGGACTTTCGTGAGGTATCGGCTGGCAGATGAAATGACGTCAGATGTTGCGGTGCTAACTACCTCACTGCTCCAATCACGGGACACTCATTCTCTACTTTGAGTATTATTTGTCCGGTGCAACGCCTCGGCCACGCGTGCCCGGCCCAGGTCCAAGATACTGTGAAGGTGGGCAGTACCCTGGTAGACATTGAAACAGCTCCATCCTCAGAGGGCTGGCAGGTGATATCGGTGAAGCGCCTGCAATGCATCTCAGGCAGGTGCCCCGGCAGCGTCAGCACCTGCAGCAACTGCAGCCCCTGCAGCGCCTGCACCCTCTGCTGCACCCACGCCTGTCACAGCTGCGCCAGCAGCTGCGCCAGCCACACCAGCGCCTACACCAAGTAAGGCACTGCCTGTTGTGCTCAGACTGGGTGTTGCAGAGGGTTGTGGTACGTGGAACCTTTGTGAGGGTGCAGCTGCTCCTGGCGTGCTGGCAACTCCGAAGGTTGCTGCTGGTACTGCTTGAGCAAGCTGTGCCGGCGTAATGGGGCAGGTGCGTGGCCTGGCCAAGCAGATGGGAGTCGATCTCACAAAGATCAAGGGTACAGGCAGAGAGCGCTGTGCCAAAATCAGTCAAGGCCTGTGTTGTTGCAGGTGCCAATGGGCGAGTGCTCGAAGAGGAGCCAATGCTGCTGACCGTCACTGCAGCGAAGCCTAAGCTGACTAGCACCAGGACTTGAGTGGAGCTGCGGCAGAGGCCCCAGCGAAGGCTGCAGCACCGCCAGCACATCAGCGTGTCTTAGAGGCCTTGGGCGCTTTCTGTTGAGGCTTTCAGGGTTTAGGATTTGGTCGTGGAATGTTGTCCTGTTGATTGGAGTTATCCTGCAAGGGAGCAGGTTCCTAGTTCCTCAAGACGTTCGGCCATTAGCGATTAGCATAATTAGCAAAGTGAGCAGAGGAAAAACTAAGCTCGGACTAGGGTTAGGAGGCTAGGCCTTCATGCACAGATAACAGCCCTGCTGCAGCTCTTCCGCACCAGCAGGCACAGGCTGGAGATGGCTGGAGCATGCTTGCGGCACCGGTAAGGATTCTAGGAGCAAGGTGGCCCAGGCAATACACATTCCTGAGTCGTATCTGCGGAGATTTTCTCACACATCAGCGTGAGGGTAGGAAGGGTCAAGCGAAGCTCGTCCCAGAAAACTGACTTTCTTTCCAGCTTGAGCGTTCTAGAAAATTAGGTGTTTGGTCAACTCAAAATAAGGAAGCCAGAGAGAATGCCAGAGACCAGACAGAAAGAAGAGGTGCTTTCCCAAGCTGCTCCAGGATTCTGTGATCCAGATCACGGACAATGTGGGCAAGGGCATGGCCGGGCTTGCGAGGTTTGCGGCGGGATGGTTTGGAGGTGTGGCACCTTTTGCAGGTGAAGTCCATGCAGGCCTCGCTGGTGGTACCATACATGGCCCTGGGTGAGGCTGTCATCACATATTTCAGTGTTTTTGCTTGCCCCCTTTTGGTCCTTCCACCGTCACAGGAGATTGACATGACCGAGATGCTGGCCTTGCAGAAGCAGCTGAAGGTGCTAGCAAACCCGTGGTTGTTCTGCAAACAACCACCTGCACTGCAAGGACTATGCGCTCAAGAAGCACGGCACGAAGGCCGCCACTGCAAATCACGTCTGATGACATTTGCGCCTGCCTTCTGCACATGTCTTGCAGGTCACCGTGACGTCCTTCATGCTCAAGGCATGCAAGGGTAGCGACATCTGCGTGTTACCCTGGCCCCGGTACAGGCCATATCCCTGGCGCTTTACGACAACCCAAAGGTCAACTCCAAGTTCGGGTGCTGCTCCTCTTCCTGAGGCCATTGCCAGTGTTGTTCTGTGATGCTGCGAGGTCCCCGGAGGCCTCCCCGCCGAGCTACACCATCTTTGCAAAGCACAATGTTTCTGTGGAGCACCCAGGCATCTGAGAAGTGTCATGTCGCTGACTACAGCAGACAGCAGGTGGCAGTGGACACGCCGCACGGGCTGATGGTTCCAAATATCAAGGTGTGGTGGGTGGCTGAAGGCAAAGGGCTGAAGATGGCTGAAGCTTCTGTGGCAGGACGTGGGCAGCTTGAACGTCCTGGAGATCCAGCGCGAGCTGATGCGTTTGGCCGAGGCGGCACAGGCTGGCAAACTGGCACTGAACGACATCCAGGCGGGCACGAAGCGCGGCGCACACAAGGGCACACAAGCTTTGATAATAATGTGTGGATACAACTGGGTTAGGCCATGGGGTGATCTAACTCCAGCGCAGCCTAGAGGATTTCATCCGACTGATTTGGAGGGCCATGTTAAATCAATTAGGGCCGGCCTGGTGGAAGTGCAGTGCAGAGGGTGAGGCTATGGAGTTCACAACCTCACAATCCTGGCATGCAGCCTGTTTGGTGATCCCTTTTTTCGCTTTTTCCATAGCAACCTTTGTGGCCTCCTACAAGCTTTTTCAGAATTGTGGATTTTCACGGTTTTGCGCTCCATGTTGAGAAGCTTGCTCGGATGCCTTGAATTTGTTCTAGGTGCCTGAGATTCTTGGAATGCTTTTTGTTGTTTTCAGCCCTCAGGGGCAGAAGCCAAGCACAAGACTCATGTGTCCTGGCCGTCTTGGCTTCTTGGTTTCTAGCCCCTGATGGTTTCTAGGCCCCTGTGGCCTTAGAATCACGTGTCCAGACTTTGCTTCGAAAGGATGACTGCTGAAAAGGCACATGGGCGCTTCGAGTCTTTGAAGGGCTTGGAAATTCACGTGTGAAAATGCATGAGAAATTCAGTTTTAGCACGCGCTGATCAGAATCAGTCAGATTGTTGCAGCTCCCTGTTTCTCCAGGGCGGTACGATCACTCTCTCCAACATCGGCGTGATTGGCACCAAGGATCGGGTTTGGTTTTCTGACGTTTCTTCCAGGCGGCATCGTACCAAGTTGACCTCCCAGGACCCGCGGCCCATCCTCTTCGATGGCCAGGCAGTGATCGGCGCGACGGGAAGGACCATGGTTCTGCCCCGCTACAACAGCAAGATGGAGGCCATGCATGCAAATTCTAAAGCCATGCGTGAGGGAAAGAGGGATAGAGAGCCTCAGAGACTGGCTCATGTTTCCTGGGCAACTGCTCACCTGCTCTCAGCCTCCTTTGAATCTTCTCTCTGCAATTGTCCCCACTCATCATGCCCTCAGCTGGTGCCTCGGCAAGTGATGAACATCCGTTGGGCCAGGGCCACAGAGCTCTTCGCGATCCTAAGCTTTACTCCATGTAGAATCGTGAGGTGGGCGACCACCGCCATCTCGACGGTGCCTCGCTGGCACGTTTCTCCAATTCCTTCAAACAGTACATGGAGGCCGCTCTTGGGGTGATGCAGCAACTTGTCTTTGCCTGACGTATGGCCTTGTGCAGAATCCCGGCGAGTGGTGCCTGACTATGAGATGACCCGGCACGGCTTTTTGAGAGGCCAATGTGTAGATTTTGATGTACCTGAAGGCCTTTCCGACACTCCTCCGCTTCCCTCCCGTAAGGGCGGGATGCATCGTTTGCAACTGACCCGAAGACACCTGCCAGGTGTAAAGCAGAGATCATGAGAAAAGCGCAAACGGACAAGAGGTACAGTCACTTATGCGGTGCCGTACAACTTGCTCCATGACCAGAAGTGTCAATACCTGCGGCTTATCATGTGGCTCGAAGGGTGGGGGCCGTAGAGCTTCAGAGGCCTTTGTCCACGTCAAGCTCCAAGAGGGGGGAAGACACGTTCAGTGTGGGACGTTTGTGCGGTTCAGGCCCAAGGACGACAGGGACTTCGGTTCCTGGAGACTGGGCTGTGGCCATGGCCTCGAGGGAGCCTCCTTAAGCTTTGCTATGCTTTGCTGACTTGGCATGGATTTTGCAAAAGTTTGCAAACGGTTCGAGCTCAAGTTCAAGCGCAGCAGGAGCTTGGGCTTCCCACTGACGCGAATCAGATCGAAGAGGCAGGGCGCATCGTGCAAATGATGGTCCTGGTTTCCTCTTGCTGTGGTGCAGGCCATCCTGGCCAAGGTGCAGCAACGCGTGCACAGCCGCACCACCGAGGAAAGGCCGTACCTATACCTCCCTTGGGCTGCATCCATATGCTTTCATGATCGGCTTTCATGGAATCGCCAGCCAGGAGACATTCTTGGTGCGAACACTGCGGCACTTCGATCTGCAGGGCAGCGGCTTCCTGGACTTTCCTGCTTTCACACGGGCACTGCTGCCATTCACTTCCGGCCTACGAGACCAGGCACGGATCAAGTCTCAGAGGCCAGGGTCAAAGGTGCATGATGATCAGCAGATCAGGACCTCCGCAGCTTCTTCGACCGCTACGCCGAAGAGGCCCCTTGGCAGCATTTCTGTTTTTTGGCTAATCGCATCGGCATCCATACATCGCTGACACCCTGCTCTGCTGCTCTGGTCCTTGGAAGGGGCTACTGCCAATCCGGGCCTTCGCGGCTGAATTTGCCAGCGGGGCCCGGCGGGATGTGGCCGGGGTCGGAGTGCCGATGGGGCCAGCTTGCACAGAGGCTTGGTGGTTTTCAGTGCTTTTGTTCCACTTGCAGCGCACTCTCTTCCAGAAAGCACCCTTGAGGTTGGAGCAGGCGACGAGGTTTCGGCATGGGGATGCAGAGCTTGAGAGCAAATAAGCGGTGCGCACAGCCAAGCATGGCAGGCAGAGGCGCCCGAGGCAGGCCGACATTGGTCGCTTACATTCGACTTATTCAACAGTTGCATTCAACAGTTGCTGACACAAGCGCTAGGGCCAGGGCTTTGCCTACCAGCGGCCCACGCCACCGAGCCTCAAACAGCATGCCGAACCATTTGGAACCTGCCAGGAGACCCTTGAGAGGATGAAGGATTTTCTCTACGACCAAGGGCCTCGTGGCATCACATCACTCGCTGCGGCGCGCAGTGATTGCATAAGAACCGTGCAGGTCAACCTGTTGCCATATGCCCGGAGGCTCTTCGGGATGCTGACCCACACAACGTCCGAACCATCGGCTTTGAAGTCTTCCGACAGGCGGAGCCGGCAAAGGACAAAGAGAGTGAGAGCAGAAGCGCCGCAGGGCTCGTTGGCTTATCGTGCCTGGTCTCTGCAGGTAGTTGGCAGCTTCTTTCAGGACCAGGTGAAGTAGAAGATGTAGAAGTACCCAGCGTGCGGCCTTGGTTCCCGTGCCTGGTGGCCTTTGCAGGTTAGCGACTTGAACCTCGGCCCTCTCTTCGACCTCTTTCGGCAACCGCACGTCAACCTGCTTGCATACGACGAGAGCCCTGACTGCAAGTTGCCGCAATTAGCAACATTAGCAGGTGGGATGCCTGCCTGGAACTGGACCAAGCTACGAGGTTCTTCTTGGCGCTAAAGGAGGAGCTGAGCCCGGCGCGGCGCGCCTGCAGCCCAACATGTCCAGCCAGCAGAAGGGCAAGCCAAATACCAGGGATTCAGAGCAGGCTTATAAGCTGTATTCTTAGGAGTGCAGCACTCAGCATGAGGCTTTACAGGTGCAGCAGTACTCCTCCATGGGTCATAAGGCATGGCTGCCTACCGACAAGGATATTCTAGCATCTTCCATGGTGCGTGCAACCCGTTCCTTCGCCAGAGACTCCAGCAGCGGGTTCTGCAGTCCAAGAGGTCGCCGACTATGGAGTCTGACTAGAGCCCTTGTGAGAGGCCCCACCTGAACCTGCAGACCTGACAAAGAGTATCCCTACCTTCCCAACTGGAGAAAGTTGTGGGTGTACAATGGTGTGCAAATGGGGATCTCGTTTGATACTTCCTTCTGGGGTCAGCGACGACCAGAATTGTGGTTCAGCGGCCAAGGCTGCCATTCGTCAGGCTTTCCGCCGTCTAGATGCAGCATCAGAGGCCAACCAGAGCAGGGCGCCACAAAGCATGCAGCAAAACCTGCTCCAGAGGGCCTTGTCGACCTTGCGGTGATGTTGCGCTCTTTCAACAGCCAACGCCATCCCGAGGCCACAAAAACCAGCCAGTTTCCCATGTACTCTCGTCGGAGTCCCTGCAGGTCTCGCTAGGCACAAGGTCTGCAGAGGAGGCACGTACTGCAAAGCAACGGAAAACAGCTCCAGGCTGGCAGAACTGACAGGTTTTGGAGGAGTTCGCCGACACACTGAAGGCACAAAGTCAAGTGGCAAGAAGGTGCAGCAAGGCTTTCTGAGCATCGAGGACCACATCAGCTTCCGACGCGGCCAGCGCCGGGCTCCCCAGAAAAGCTCCACAGTGAACTGCATCAACGACAGGCACCTGATGCCAGGCTCCTACCCAACGAACCTAGTCGCTTGGGAAGAGTTCGAGGCTGCGTTCTTCCATCCTGCTGTCAGCCCTGGCCTCACGCCCCAGAAGTGCGCGCCACAGGATTACTACAAGCCCGCTGCCAAGAGGGACAGAGCAGGACACAAGGGTGAAGAGAGCTCCCCGCGCACTCAGTTCTCGAGGTCAATCAGTGGCTGTTTTGCTTCGGACGAGGAATTCTGCGGTGTGCTTGAGAAGGAGAGGAAGTATACTTCAAGACAACAATCACCACAATGAAAGAGTCCTCCATCCCGCATTGGTTGCAGGTCTGGGATCTGAACAAGGCTCCGGACGCCTCTGCCAGGAGCCTGGAAGGCAAGCAGCGAGCAGCCAGCGGCAAGAGCAGCCGCATGTAGCACGAGGAACTTGCGCAGGTGAGAACAGGCGAGAATGCATCGAACAGCAGCGTAGCATGTGGAACCTCCTCCAAAACATCTGCAATACACAAGAAACAGCGAATTTCCTCTCCTGCTAGGTACCGGCAAAAGATGTCCGTCCGGTGCGATGCACAATGGATACCTGAAAGATAGCCCGAATGCTCATTTCAGCATCACCCCAGACTTGCGGTTTGAAGGCTCTAGCAGCTAGCAGCACTCAAACAGCTTGTTCTGGAGATTTCGGAACCATGCGCAAGACTAGCCAGCCATTCTTTTATTCTAGGATTTGCTTCTCGGCTCACACTTCCTTCCCTTTTCACCAAAACACACACACTTGATCTGGTTAAATGAAAGTTGGGAAGTTGAAGCTCAATTTCTCTCGAGTCAAAACTGGAATG